GAAAAGGAGGAGGAGGAAGAAAAGGAGGAGGAGGAGGAGGAGGAGGAGGAAGGGAGCGAGGCAGGCGCACCGCCAGGCGAGAACGTGAAGACGAGGCGGACGAGGAGGCAGAGGAGGGCGCGGCCAGCAGAGGCAGCGCAGGCAATCAGAGGCGCAAAGGCGCGAAGGAGGAGGAAGCGCAGAGGAGGAGGAGGAGGAGGAGAAGAGGAGGAGGCGGAGGATCACCACGAGGAGAAAGAGGAGGTGCAGGAGGAAGAAGAGGACGAGGAACAAAGCAGAAACGCGCCGCAAGAGCCGAGACGGCGCAGGCCGAGGAACAAAGCACAAGGCGCAGGAGGGCCAGGAGAACGCCGCGAAGGCGCGGAGGACGATGAGGAAGGCGACGACGAGGGCGGAGGAGGGCGAGGAGGAGGAGGAGGAGGAGGAGGAGGAGGAAGAAGACGACGGGGAGACGGCAACAAGCAGCACCGCGACTGCGACCAGCAGCGCCACCAAGACTGCGAGCCGCACCACTACCAGCAGCAGCAGCAGCAGCACCAACACGGCTGCGACCAGCAGCACCCCCACCACGACAGCGACCAGGAACGCAACGGCTAGTTACGACAAGCAGAACCACAGCCACGAGCACGACCAACAGCTCCACCACCGCAATTGCAACCAGCAGCACCACGACGGCGACCAACGGCAACCTGGCGACCGCGACCCGCATCGCCACCAGCAGCACCACCACGACGACAACAACCAGCAACACCACCACCACCACTGCCAGAAATAGCACCACCACGACCGCGACCAACCGCACAACTACGCCCCCGCGCCACGACGGAGGCCAGCAGGACCACCACCAGCGACAGCACCGCGACAGCGACCAGCGGGAAGGCGAGGAGGAGGAGGAGGAGGAAGAGGAGGAGGAGGCAGAGGGCGAGGAAGAGGAGGAGGAGGAGGAGGAGGAGGAGGAGAAGAAGAAGGCGGAGGAGGAGGAGGAGAAGAGGCAGAGGAGGGCGCGGCCAGCGGAGGCAGCGCAGGCAGCCGGCGGCGCAGCCGGGGGAGGAGGAGTTGGAGGAGAAGGAGGAGGAGGAGGAGGAGGAGGAGGAGGAGGAGGAGGAGGAAGCGGGGGAAGAGGAGGAAGAGGAGGAAGAGTAGGACGAGAGAGGAGGGCGAGGAGGGAGGAGGAAGAAGAGGAGGAGGAGGAGGAGGAGGAGGAGGAGGAGGAGAAGGAGCAGGAGGAGGAGGCAGAGGACAAGGAGGAGGAGCAGGAGGAGGAGGAGGAGGAGGAGGAGAAGGAGGAGGCGGAGGAGGAGGAGGAGAAGGGAGCGAGGCAGGCGCGCGCCAGGCGACAACGCGAACACGGGGCAGGCGAGGAGGCAGAGGAGGGCGCGGCCAGCGGAGGCAGCGCAGGCAGCCGGAGGAGAAGAGGAGGAAGAAGAGGAGGAGAAGCTGACGGAGGAGGAGGAGGAGGCGGATGACGAGGGGGAGGAAGAGGAGGAGGTAAAGGCGCAGGAAGAGGTGGCCCGGGGAGGAGAGCGCGAGGACGAGATCGGCGGCGCCCAGCCGCCCGGCGGCCGAGCAAAGGCGGCTCCATCCCTGGAGCGGGCCGGAAGTCAGCGCGCGAGGGCGAGGTGGTCATCGGGCTGCTCTGCGAGCTTGCAAGCCGCGGCGGCAGCTGGCAAAGCGGTACGATGCACTCTCTGTGGGGCCGTCGCAGCGTCGCAGCATCGCAGTAGCGCCGCATACCTACCAACTCAACTCCGCCTGGGGCCGTGCCTTCCGCCGCCCGAGCAGGCGTAGGAGGCACCGCGTGAAGCAAGTCGCCCGCGGCCGCCGATCGAGCCAAGACCCCGCCTTTCCCGAGTTCGACAACCGGCGAATGGCCAGGAAGGAAGGCGACCCCCCACCTGGCGAGGCTGGGCGGCGAAGGGAGACGCCCGACCTGGGCCCCACCAGGGGCCGCCAAGCGGGGCCCGAGGCAGCGTCGTGGGCCGAGGCCTCTCGAAGTGGGCGACGTCTGGAGGGTGCACCCCCTGCGCCCCAAAGGCCAAAAGAGGGGGCGCGCGCCTAACGGCGCCCCACAAGGGCTACGCTGCCCAGACAGGCAAGTGGACCCAGACGACGCCGTGTCGGGAGGGAGAGTAGCGGGGAGGAGAAGGCGGAGGCCAGGAGGGCCCACCAACTCCGACTCCTCAATCCCGAGCGCAATTTTCTTCGCGCCGTCGGCCCTTGTGCCTGTCGCCAGGAGCGCGCCAGCGGAGAGTGCCTCAGAGCCAGCAGTCAGTGGTGCGCCCGCGAGACTGGTCCCTGTCGCGGTGGCTGAAACTCTCGGGGGGAGAGCGCAAGAGCTGAGCGTAGCAGTGCCTCGAACGTCTGAGGCGAAGCCTCGTACTGCGCCACGGTGCAAGGCGTGGTGCATCCGCGTGTGCGCTCCTCCTCCTCCTACTCCTCTCCTCAGACGAGCCTCCTGCTCCTCCGCCCCAGTCCACGGGGGGGAAGGCGGAGGAGGGAGAGGAGTTTTGCGCCGTCGATGGCGAGGTGGGCGCAGAGGGCCACCTACCCCAAGGGTCGGGGCGACCCGAGGGTCGACTCACAGCCATGAGCGCGAACGGCCCGACAGCCTACAGCTCCTCGAGCCCGCCCCGCGGGCTGGAGATGCCTGCACACGGCAGGAGTCGGACCGGGCCGCCGCCTGCCCCGCCCGCCGAGGCGCGAGCAGCTGACGGGACGAGCAGGGACCAAGGGCCACGACAGGCAGGGGGCCGCGGGGCCTGCCTGCCCCGGGCGACCGCCGCCTGATGCGGACGGTCGGCCCCGCCCGATAGCTCAAGACGGACGGGGCACAGGGGCAGCCCCGAGCGACCCTAAACCAAGTCAAGCCAAGTCAGAACCGTGCCTTGGACGGCACATCGGTTGCAGTGCGCGGCTGCTGCACGCACCGCCGCTGGCAGAAGGCAGTCGCCGGGCTCGCAGCGGCGCGGTCGTAGGCAGCCTGGAAAAATAACCAAACCGCGAAGGGTAAAAGACCCGAGGACCGCCGCGTAGGTGAGGGAGGACAACCTGCGCGGCGATGGCACCGCAAGCCCTTGGCGCCCTGGCCGCGCGCGCGCGCGGAAAGGGAGCGGGGGGCAAGCGTGGCAAACTTCGGACCGAGAAGCTGCAGAGACCGTCGGGGCGCAACGAGGAGGAAAATTAGAGAACCATACCCTTACACAACCCTACCGAGTTGAGCGGGGGGGCGCAGGCAAGACTGAGCAGCGCCAGAGGAGGAGGAGGAGGAGGAGGAGGAGGAGGAGGAGGAGGAGGAGGAGGAGGAGGAGGAGGAGGGGGAGGAGGAGGAGGGGGAGGAGGACGAGGAGGAGGACGAGGACGAGGAGGAGCAGGAGGAGGAGGAGGTTGCACGATCTCCGGTGCGAGGTGCATTGCTCGCGCGTCTGCGCGCCTCGGTTGCCCTCTGCGCGTCACGGTCGTGGGCTGGCCATGCGCGCCATTTGCACCATGAATCGCCACGAGAGGCGGTTGCGCTTCAGCCTTGGGCCTGACCGTTTCTGAAGCTTGCCCTCCCGATTCCTCAACGCCCGGCGGCACTCCCCACGCTCCAGCCGCGCTCTTCCCCGCTACGGTGCCCCCCCTCATTTCAGCGCGGAGCGCGGGGCCCGCGCCCGCCGACCCCAGGGCCCGCGCGCTGGGCGCTCTCGGTTTGGCCGAGGCCGACTTCTCTTCGGCAGAAGTCTTTGGTGCTCGCCTCCTCTCCGAAGCAGAGAGGGCGCTCGAGCCGGCCTCCAAGGCAGGAACTGGCAGTGCCTCCGGCCTCGAGGCTGAGGGCTAGCTGGCCCACGGCTGGCTTCTTGGCCGCTCACGCGTCCTACCTGACATCGCCATCCTCTCCTGCTCCCCGCCCCCACTCTCACGCACGCAAGCACTGCCGAGGCGCCGCTGCGGCCGTGCCCGGCAGCCTGCAGCACGCTCCCCCAGGCGGGACGCGCGCCTGCGGTTCTGCGCCCGACCAAGGGCAATGCCCGTCGCCCTCGGCTGCGCCGACCGCGAAACTGCCGGCGTGGTGGGAGTTTGGGGCCCTTCGGTCGCCGAGCGGGCTCGATGCCGGGCCCGCTCAGCGACGGAGGAGCTCAATGAAAGAGTGGGCTCAGAAGATCCTGGGGTCGCCCTGCCAAGCCTGATGAGGAACGTGACAGTGGGACTGGCTCAGAGGCTGGGGCATCGAGCTGCAATCGGCAGCACATCGTCGCTAGGTCGGCGACAAGCCCCCTGCCTGGGAATCCGCACGTTCCTTGGCGGGGTGGGCAAGCGGGCCCCAAATCGGCGATGAATGGGCGACTGGGGTCCATGCATCCGCCCCCCCCCCCGGAGCCCATTTCCCCCCCCCGCCCTGCGCTGCACCCAAGGGATGCGCCCGACCGCGGGCACAGCGCCCCTGGGCGCTGAGGGGCAACCCCTGCGCTGCCCGTGGCCCGCCCGTCGCCCCTCCGGCCCTCCTCCGCCAGCGCCACGGCCACCCCAGCCCCTTCGCGTGCCCAGCAGCGTCGCCTCCCTCCCCCGCCCACAGAAGCAGGAGCAGAAACCCGCGCGGGGCCCTGCCAGAGCAGAGCGTGCGAGAAACCCGGTGGAGATCCCCCTTTGCGCGACTGCGGGGCCTTGGGGGGAGGGGCCACGCGGTGCACGAGAGGGTCTCGCGGTGCCTGTGCACGGCGTCGGGGTGAGAGGGGGCGCTGGCCTCGGCAGGGAGGGGCGGAGGGGGCCTCGATGTCCAGGCGCGTTTGTGGCATCCGCAGGGGGGGACAGGGTACGTCTGCGGTGTCGGCGCGCTTGTCTTGGCGCGTGGCGCGAAATGCTCGGGCGCACGGGCGCCATGCGAGGGCGAGATGCGACCTGCCGACTTGTGCAAGATGCCGGTGTGCAGAAGGGCGCGAGCAGGCCAACCGAGCCCTGTGCGGATCGAGTGGCTCAGACGGCATGCGGTCATCATGAAGCAAAACTCAAGAGAGCAAGCCCGCCTTTTCCTCCTCTTCGGCGTAAACGGCAGTGGTAGCTGCACATACCACCTTCACGCATCAGAGAGGGCGGCCGGAAAGAATCGAACAATGAGAACCACTTCGTCCGCACGCGAGGTGTCGACTGACAGTGGCTCGGGGCGTGCACCGAGCATGCTTGCTCGCGGACGCGTGTCCGCGCACATCTGCCCACGACGCGAGAACATGACGCTCCAGGTATCACAACAAAGGGGCTCTGACTTGGGGGGGGGATCTGGATCGGCTGTCCTGGAGGGCTGGGGGGCGCATGGCAGGGGGTTCTGGCGGGGCCCCTCTCAGTGTGAAATTCGGGGCGTGCATAGTGCGGCCGAGGCCACCGCATTCTCGCTAGGTTGCTCCAAGGCTGCTTTTTATCACGGTCCCCCGGAGGACAAGGGCCCCTACAGGCCCAAGAAGAGCATCAGGAAAACGACTGCCTCGGCAAAAACTGCAGGTAGGCAAGTGGCAGATGCGATGGGAGCGCCCCTGGCAACGACAGCACAAAGGAACGGCAACGGCAGCGGCAACAGCCACGGCGACTGGGCGAGCAAGCTGGAAGAGACGGGAATCGAACGAGCGCTCCTTGCCTTGCGCTCGCACGAAGGAACATGCGACGACACGACGTCAGCTCCCAGCGGCCCACGAGAGAGGCAGAGTCACGAGGGGCCTGCAACGCAAGCAGGCTGACAGAGAGAAGAAAGCAGGAAGCGAAGTAAGAGGATACAGGAAGTAGGAGGCAGGAGGCAGGAGGGGAAGAAGGGAGGAGAGGAGAACACAGTACCCGATTCAAAACGAGAACCCAACGCAGGAGGGTTGGGAACAACTTCGAGGAGGCGAGAGAAGGAGGAGGAGGAGGAGGAGGAGGACGAGAAAGAGGAGGAGGAGGGGGGAGCCACCAAAGGAATCCTTTCGTAATCCGCAACAAGAGGAATCCGCTGTAACCCGCCACAAAAGGTATCCCGTAGGGAAGCCGCCACAACAAAGAGTTCTTTGTAATCTGGAGGAGAATGTACAATGTTTCATCGTTTTCCTCGACCCGCCCTCGGGGGCTGAATTGTTGTTCCAATGTGTTTCTGTACAGGGCCGGTTGCTTTTACTATTGTTCATGTGTTCCCCGTTGTTCTGTGGTCTCGGGACGGGCGGCGGGCGCCGCGGGAAGGAAAGGGTAGTTAAGCACGACAAGAATTGAAAAGCCTCCCCTGCACACGAGAAACAAATAGAACAAAAAAAGTCTGCCATGGATGAGTAAAACTAGAGATTCCCATATGTGTTTATACCAAACAACTTACAAAAATTGAGAAGGCGAGAGGAGGAGAAAGAGGAGGAAGGGGTTAAGGAAAGAAATAGAGAGTGGGGGAGAAGGAGGATAGTAAGGATAGAAGGGAAAGAAAGAGAGAGAGAGAGAGAACAAACAAGGGAGAGAGAGAGAGAGAGATGGGAAGAGAAGAGCTAACAGAGGAGGTGAGATATATACATAGGAGGCGAGCTACGGGGCGACAGAACTACATAGTTATATATATATACACATATACATATACATAGAGAAACATACGCACATATAGTTACCACACATGTACGCAGAATGTGAGTGTGTTGTTGTCTCTATGTATACGTTGTATCAAGATGTCTCTATCTCTCTCTCTCTCTCTCTCAACATATGCGTAGATACACATACCTAGAGGTGCATATGTACAAATAAACATATACAATTTAAACAGGGGGGGGGCCCACCGTCACGAGACCCACCAACACACAAACGAATGTCGGCCTTCCGGAACCCCTGGACGCTCCTGCAGGACGGCTCTTCGGCATTCTGAACCTCCTGGACGTCAAGGCCCAGGCCAAAGCGTTCAGGTGGGCGGCCAGACAGCTCGGCGAGAGCCCAAACCGGCCCCATGCACGCCCCAGACGTCTGGAGACGGCCCAAACAAGAAAGCCAAGAGGCCCTCCAAACGCACAAAACGCGTGCTGCTTACACTTGTAATGTCATTGGGTGCTCGTTGTTTCGTCCTCCAGGGTTTCGAAACAGCCCAAGAGGGCCGGAAATCTGATGAAAATGAACCAAAAGAGCATCCAGAGAGTGCGAAAGAGACCCAAGACGACGCACCACGGCCCCGAGGCTGTCCGAAGAGAGCCCCGTGACGGCGAAAGATGCCTCCAGGACGCCCCCCTAAGCACTCAAAGTCGTGGCACGGTCGTTGCGGAGGGCTACAACCCCATGTTGATCATAACACGTTCGCGAGCCCCGAAGCTACAACACCTCATGGATCACGACGCTTTGGCGCTCCGAGGCTACAACCCCTAGGAAGGTATGTCAAAAGTTCGCGTTCCCGAGCCCATCGTCCATTGCAGGTTGCGACGCAGTCGCGCCCCCGAGGGCACAATGCTTTGTAGATGCCGGCGCTCGCAATTCCCGAGGCTACAACCCGTTGTAAGGCACACCAGAGTCGCGCTCCCCGAGGCCGCAACGCCTCGTAAATTACGATGCCCCCTCGCTTCCGAGGCTACCATCCAGTGCTCCCGAGTCCACCATCCTTCACAAATTACATCGCGCTCGCGCTTCCGAGGTCAGCACACCTAGCAAGTCACGACGCAGTAGCGCTCCCGAGGTCAAAATCCCTGTGTGAATCCCCACTGTGCCCTCGGCCCTTGTTGCAGTGTCCCAAGGCTCACGCAGCTCTGCGAGGTAAAGGGCTTGTGGCCTGAAGGGCCCAAGCTCCCGGTTTCCCAGGCAATCCTGGACGGTCCTGAACGCTGCCCGAGTGTTGGGACTTCAAGAGCGCCCCGAGACGGGCCAACGGGACCCCAGGAGGCCCCAAAGACGGCCGATCGGGAGCGGCGAAGAGGGGGGTGTCCAGGAGGGGGGGGTGCAGATCATGACCGGCGGCATGTGCGCGGCCCAGCGGGGGGGCCAGGGACGTAATGAAATGAGAAGAGGCGCCATGAGCTCTGAGGAATAATCGTGCCCCACGCCATGACATCCATCCCCCCCCTCATCACCCTCCTCCTCCTCCGCCTCCTCCTCCTCCTCCTCCTCCTCCTCCTCCTCCCTCCTCCTCCTCCTCCTCCTCCTCCTCCTCCTCTCTCCTCCCCTCTCCTCCTCCTCCTCCTCCCTCCTCCCTCCTCATCCCCCTCCTCCCCCTCCCCCTCCTCCTCCTCCTCCTCCTCCTCCTCCTCCTCCTCCTCCTCCTCCTCCTCTCTCCTCCTCCTCCTCCTCCTCCTCCTCCTCCTCCTCCTCCTCCTCCTCCTCCTCCTCCTCCTCCTCCTCCTCTCCTCCTCCTCCTCCTCCTCCTCCTCCTCCTCCTCCTCCTCCTCCTCCTCCTCCTCCTCCTCCTCCTCCTCCTCCTCCTCCTCCTCCTCCTCCTCTCCTCCTCCTCCTCCTCCTCCTCCTCCTCCTCCTCCTCCTCCTCCTCCTCCTCCTCCTCCTCCTCCTCCTCCTCCTCCTCCTCCTCCTCCTCCTCCTCCTCCTCCTCCCCCTTTGCCGCCCCCGAGCCGAGGAGGGTCCCCGAGGCGTCGAGCGATCGGTGCGGGGCGCCCGAGGTGGCCGCCCGACGGCCGAAGAGGCCCCCCAGGCAAGACGCCCCCGAGAGGCCTCCCAACAAGCAAAAGCATCCTCCAGGTTTCGTAATAAAGGGAGGGGGTCTCATTTCGGGGGGGGGCTCTTCCAGGCTATCTTGGAGGGCCTGGGAGGGTCTGGGGACGATGTTTTGGAGGGTTCTCCCACGGGGGGGGTCTGAAATGGCTTGTCTTGGAGGGTCCAGACCCCCTCCCTTTTATGACGAAGTCTGGAGTAAAGTGTTCTGTGATGTTTGGCAGATTCGGGCGGTCTCGCCTCTTCGCCTTCCCGACGCTCTGGCACGACACGAGGCCCCGACGATCGCCCCAAAGCGACCCCAACAGGCCTTCAAGCGGGGTCCTAAAACGGCCCTGAAAAGGGACCCAAGAGTCGCCAAAGACGGCCCAAGAGGCCCCCCAGGCAGCTCCAAGAGGGGGCCCCGACGGGGGACCCGAATGACCAGTTCGAGCTCTCGGCCCCGAGAGGGCCCCAAGGAAACCCCGAGAGGACTCCAAGAGGCCTCCAAGAGCCACCAAGAGGCCGCAAAGAGGCCCACAGGAAGCCATGCGAGGTCCCCAAGAGGCTCCAAAGAGGCCCCCAGAGGCCCCAAAGAAGCCCCACAACTGCCCCAAAGAGGCCCCCAAGAGCGCTCCCAAGAGACCTGAAGAAGCAACCCTGAGGACTCTGACCCACAACCCGGCACGGTGGCGGCATGGGCCGAAGGCCATTTAGGCTATCATCCCTCGTCATCTGCCGCGAAATCGTGCCCCCCGAGGCCGCGCTCATTTCTGTAAGTTACGAATGGCTCGCGCTCACGAAACGACGGAGCCACCCTTCCCAAACTGTCCAGAAGCGCTACCCCCTCTCCAGGGCAGACACGCGCAAATGTTTCGTGTTTGGATGTGCGCGGAGGGGCCGGCGGGCGCGGTTCGCCTCCCGCCTGATAATGCGGCACTGGACCCGAAGCCCCGAATCCTCGAAAATAGCAAAGGATGCCAAGAACCTGAAGACAGTCCCAACCGCGACGTTTTGCCCCATATGGTCATAAGCAAGTAAGCCTCCAGCACAAAACACTGAGAACATCCTTGAAAGTGACAACAGAAGGTTCAAAAAGAACTTCAAAATATCAATTTGTCTTGTTGATCACCAGCTCCCATTTTGCTTCAAGACGGTGCCCAGATATCCCGATATGGCGGTGATACTTGTGATAGAAAGGGAGGCTCAGCGGCAGAAGGCGAAGTCCTTGATGCTATATCCCTCTCTCTCTCTCTCTCTCTCTCTCTCTCTCTATATATATATATATATATATATGTATATCCCTCCGTCCCTTTTCCTCCCTTTCCCTCCTCCCTCCTCCTCCCCCTGAGATGTTCTCTCCCTCATACCGCCTCCTTCTCCTCCCCTTTTTTCCTCGCGCCTTTCCTTCATCCAGCCCTCCCTCCCTGCCTGCCCGCCTTCCAGGCTCCCATCCACCCGC